AGAGAGAGAGAGAGAGAGAGAGAGAGAGAGAGAGAGAGAGAGAGAGAGAGAGAGAGAGAGAGAGAAGCAATTACCAGTCTGGTTCTGTGTTGGGGATGCGTCTGAGACCGCGTGACCTCGGAACTCAATCCTTGTATAATAATAATGTTTTGAAATTTGAAGTGCTTTTTCATCTTGGAGAGCACTGTTTGGCCATCTCGGGACTTTGAGAATCTTTTCTGAATGTTTTATGCTGTGTGGGTAGCGAATTGAGCTTGATTTTGAGTCGGGTTCAACAGTAAGTGACTGATTGATCAACTGTTTGTCCAAGTGGAAGCGAGTAGCTGAGAAAATAACTCGTGAAGAAAAAAAGGAGCTGATGAACCAATTAACCAAGTAGGGAGTGGGCGAGCAAGCAAACCAAAGGCGAAGTGAGTGAGTGAGTAAGTGAGTGGCTGAGCGAGTGATGGAATGCGTGGCTGTGGACGAGTCTGTATGTCATCTCTTGCAACTCGTTGAGTGGCAGATTAACTACTCGGTTGGGTACTCGCTGAGTGGCAGATGAACTACTCGGTTGGGTAAGCAAACCTCGAGATGAGAACTAGTTGAGTGCGTGACTGTGTGAGCGATCAAAAGAGATGCCAAATGAGTGAGTGGCTGAGTGAGTGAGTTACTTGAGCAATCAAATGAGATGCCAAATGCATGAATGAATGACTAAGTGACTGAACGAGTGACTGAGTGACTGAGTGACTTAGGGACTGAGTGACTGACTGGCTTAGTGACTTAGTGACTGAGTGTCCTTGGGGACATCCGTTCAAACTGGAACGATACAAAGAAGATTAGTTTGGCCCCTGCACAAGGATGACACACATAAATCAAGACATGGTCCCCCCCCCCAAAAAAAAAAAAAAAAAAAAAAAACTGAGTGACGGAGTGGCTGGCCCAAGCGGGCTAGCTCAGTTGGTTGAGCACGTAAGTGGCACTCAGGAGGTCACGGGTTCGATACCCAACATCGTCCTTTCGATCCTGGGGTATGCTTTGGATTCACCAGCGGAGATGGTTGGCTTGGGCCTCCTGGCTGGTTGTGGAAGTGATTTAGGCACTTTCCAGCCGGCGCCAGGTGTTAGGAGCTTGGACACTGCTCTCCACATAGAGTAGAGGTGGTTGCTTCACAGTTGGTAGTGTCTGGTAGACCCAAAACCTTTAGGAGTGTCTCCTTGGCCTAGTGTATATTAGGTAGTGTGAGGTCAAAGAAAATGCTGAGAGAAGAAAATAGAATAGTACATGCAGTCCTTTCCTTTTGTCCTTCGGTATTGCAGTTTTAGACTTTGTTCAGGAATAGCATGAAGCTTCATAGGAGAAAGGGACGCTGGACCCGGTTTCCAGTAAGAGCCAAACCTGGGTAATGGCCCCAGGGTTGAGATGTGGAGGGATTCCCGGCCTCCTTTTGCTCCAAATATAATAAACCAGGCTATTTCTTTAAAAAAAAAGAAAAAAAAAAGGACCCGGTTTCCAGTAAGAGCCAAATCTGGGTAATGGCCCCAGTCTTCTGGGTTGAGATGTGGAGGGATTCCCGGCCTCCTTTTGCTCCAAATATAATAAACCAGGCTATTTCTTTAAAAAAAAATAATAATGAAAAAAAATAAAATACATGCAGCTGTGTATGTAAGCTGTCCACCACCTCATCTTAGTAGGCGACTGGAATGCCACTTTAGATCCTAATCTTGACAGGATGTCAGGGGGCAATAGGCAAGGGGAAGGTTTGGCATGATGGCAGGTAGTGATCTAAGAGACCCATTCGGATTACTTTTTTCCAGGGGAGAAGCAGTTCACTGATTATAAAAGGAACCGTAGTCAGCACATCTCGGCGTCACGCATCGACTATTTCCTAATCTCACTCGATGCAATTGGTATGATTCATACAGTGGGAATAGGGGATCTACCTTACACGACGGGTCTCGATCATAAGCCCATCTTCCTGCACTTAATCACAGAAAAACAATGTAGTTGGGGTAGGAGTTTTTACAAATTGAATAACTCGTTAATACAGACCACTGAGCTGAGACAGGCAGTCCTACAAGTCTGCTTATCACATAACCCCGAAACGCAGTCCTTCCCGGATCTGACGAACTCGCTCTCCAGGGCAACTGCAGTGGTGGCGAGACAGTTGGCTGCGAAAAGGAAGAGGAGGGAGCAGGAGCTTCAGCAAGCCATCAGAATAGCAGAGCAAAACCTTATCAGGCACGCTGGCACGGACGTGTATGCGAGGATATTGGAAGAGGCGAGATCAGAAGTAGGGGAGTGGGAAAGATGGAGAACTCGCGGGCTGCAACTGAGGGCTAGAGTGAAGGAGTGGGAAGATGGCGAAAGAATGATGAAGTTCTTGTTCCAAAAGATAAAGAACAGGTGCAGAAATGCATCGATAGAAAAATTAGAGGGACCACAGGGGCCGACAACTAGCACAAAGGGAATGGTAGCGGTAGCCCAGGAGTTCTACAGCAACCTCTACAAGTCAAGAGAAGACGAACATCCAAGGCAACAGGTGGAGAGAGCACGTTCCAAATTCTTAGTGTATCTCGAGCCTACAATATCCCAGTCACAAGCAGCCAAGTTGGACGCTCCCCTGCTGCAGGAGGAGCTCCTGGAGGCCCTCAAGTCCTTGGCACCAAATAAGAACCCCGGAAAGGATGGTCTGACTAGTGAATTCTGGTTGGAATTTTGGCCAATCTTGGGCAGGGAATATGAAGCCTTCCTCGAGCAAGCGTGGCAAAGAGAAGGACTAGGACACGACCCAGCCATAGGAATCGTCACACTCCTGTATAAAAAAGGAAACCCGGCGGACATTCGGAACTACAGACCAATAACACTTCTTACGCTGACACACAAGATCGTGGCTAAGGCTCTGGCAAACAGACTTCGCGGGATTACAGATGGCTGCTTCCACCTGGATCAGACAGGGTTCATCCCTGGACGTTTCATCCTGGATAATGTCATGACACTGACGGAGTCAGTGCGATACATCAGGGACAAAAAGATCAACGCAGCAATCCTATTTTTTGACTTTGAAAAGGCTTATGATCAGGTGAATTGAATACCTTTCTCGGCCTTTTGGCTAAGATCAAGTGTAGTATCTGTTCTGATCAGTTTAATATCTGATCCGTGGTCCATCGGACCACATTAAAAAAAAAATTAAAAAAAAGAAAAAAAATAATAAAAAAAAATGATCAGGTGAATTGGAGCTTCCTGCAGCGGTGCATGGAAAGGATGGGGGTAGGCCCAAATTTTCATAAATTGATCAGAGTCCTATACAACGATGCGCACAGACAGGTCCAAGTTAACGGTCATCTATCAGCAAAATACAAGATGTCGAGATCGGTCAGATAGGGGGACCCATTAGCAGCGCCAATTTTTCTCTTTATTATGGAAGCCATAGCCTCCTTTGTCCGTAGAGACCCATCAATACAGTGTTTGGTCGCGGCACCAGATCAGCAAGGCCAGGTAGTCAATTTGCCAACAAGTATACTCTTCGTGGATGATCTCACAGTGCTGATTAGAGCCTCAGATTTGTCTTTCCAAGCACTCACACGGGCAATGGAGGCCTTTCAGCTAGAGTTGGAAATGAAAATAAACTGGCCAGACCGTTGGGTGGTAGCTAATAGACCAAGAAGGAGAGGGGCCAAACCCCACTACCAACCTGGAGGGATTGCAATGGGTAACAACACGAACCCCGCTGAAGTACCTAGGAGTCAAGATCACAGAGTCCGGTCCTCACCAATCCATGGCAGCTGAACTAATGACTAAGATACTGGCTAAACTGTCCGCCTGGTCTGCAATATACACATCAATCTATGGAACGACGCTTATACTCAACGCATCCATTTTTTCGATGTTGTGGTATGCTGGGACGATCTGGTCTTCCCCAACTCAGACAACCGCTGCACTACGCAGGCGCCCGACAGCCTACCTCTGGACTGCAAATCCAACCAAACCTCACTTTATCTCTAAAGCAGCATGGAAACATGTCACCCGGGCGAAGGAACAGGTCAAAACTTGTCTTGGGTTCCATTGGCCCTGGACCGTATCAGACGTTTGGCTAAATACGAAACTCCGGCCAATATGAGTGGTCTTTTTTGGGTAATGTGCAGCAGCTGGGCTAAGGTAGGCACGAAGGGGGGTACAAGAGAGGCCTCCTATTGGGGCCAGATGGTCAAGCTATGGAAGGACATCTTCCCAGCGAGAGTCAGAGAACCCCACACAAGGGAGGAGGTCCTGCGCCAGCCCTTATTCTGCAATCCAGGAATCAAGAATACAATACGGAACACTAAGTGGGGCAAATGGGTGGAACATGGGGTGTGGAAAGTCAAGCACCTCTGGGAGGAGAATAGTCGGAGATGGAAGACATGCAGAGAACTCAGAACACAACTGAAGGGCAGTCACTGACTAGAGGAACATCTTAGCGACTTGGTTAAGGCCATCCCACAGGAATGGACAAGATTGCTGCGCAAGGAATCCCAGTGGGGATTAGGGGACTGGGCCACATGTAAGCAGGAAGAAGAACCGCAGAATGCATTCAGAATCTGGAACCAGGATCCGCTAAGGAAGGAATGGGCGGTTGCAGAGATGTACGAGATCAAGCACCCGGGAAGCACTACTAGCCAGTTAGACAACTGCAACACGTGCGCAAAGTAAGAGTGGTGGAGTCTGACGAGTTCACAATCTTCAGTCCAACTACGCCATTGGAGGACTTGGAAGTAGATCCTGCAGAATGGGCATGGAATCTCAAAGGAGGAAGATTAGGTTTGACCAGAAGAAATAACATCCTAAACTATACTACGAGAATTGTCTACAGGCTGAGAAGAAGGTCTTATCCACTAGTGCCCGCATTGTCCAAGCGGTGGGAGAATAAAGTGGGAGTGACACCGGAGCAGCTACCCAAAATACCGTGGGCACAGATTAACATGATACACATTGGAAAAGTCAGAAGCTTGCAGTGGCACTCCCGGTAAACGACTGGCTAAACGAGCGCAGGAGTCGAGCACAGAGGGATCCCGCCAATGCACAATGTGTAGTCTGCCGAGAGAAGATCCCAGAAACAATGTTACATTGTCTTCTAACATGCCCAGAGGCAGAGGCCGTATAGGAGAAGGCCAAGTCCCTTTGGGGTCAAATCACGTTGTCACCATTCCCAGAGAGTAAGGCAACTATACTCCTAGGCCACGAGCTGCCAAGAAACTGGAGGCCATTCGAGAGGACCATATTTCAGCTAATAAGGCAGTATACCCTTTGGGCAATATGGAAGAGACACTGTCAGATTACTATTGAAAAGCGACCAACGCATCAGCAAGAGGCATGTGGGATTCTCTATAATTTACTAGAAACAGACCTCTTCGCACAATGGAAATGAGTACGGAGACAGATCCACCAATGCCCAGACCGAGAGCAGGAGCTAAAGGCCCAGTTCACCCAAAGGGTGCTCGGCTGCGGAAAAGTGGCAGCTATACGAGACTCCAGACTACAGTTTACTTGGAGAGGAACAGGACACTAAAATGAACAATTCTAGTAATTTAAGTAAGTCAAGCTTAGGTAGGTAAGGTTCATAAGTCACTTAAATTTTAAACGAGGATTGAGTAGGGTCTTAAAACATAAGACGTAGTCAGACAGAGGGGTAGAGCGGAAGGAGAAACGATAGCAGTAGGGTTTAGGGTTTAAGGGGAGGATAGCTGGAAAGTGAGTGGGGAGGGAGAAGTTAGGTAGTGGTAACCTGGGGGTAGGATGGTCAGTTCTTTTGGCTCCAAAATGCAGCCTAGAGACAGGCTGGCAGTTTCTTTCATCTATTGCGATTTGTCTTTTGTTAACCCAGCTTCGTCCCTGTTCAGGAACAGCATGTAGCTTGGCCTGAGAAAGGGACACTGGAGCCGGTTTCCAGTATGAGCCTAATCTGGGTAATGGCCCCAGTCTTCCGGGTTGAGTTGTGGAGGGATTCCCGGCCTCCTTTTGCATTATATATAATAAAGCATGCTATTTGTTTTTAAAAAAAAAAAAAAAAAAAAGAATAGTACATGCAGCTGTCCCCCGACGAGGAGAAGACAGTCTGCATATAAAAAAAGAAAGAAAAAAAGAAGGAGAAGGGGAAAGGGGGAGGAGGGAAGGAAAAAAAAAAAAGAGTGACTGAGTGGCTGTGTGAGCGATTGAGGGACCTACCCTCTTCCCCCGAACACAACACACCCTCATTCTGACTGTATCTGGCTGGAAACATACCTTGCATGCGCTCCTTTTCAGTGTGCGTTATGTTGGGGGGAAGACGGTAGTTAGCATGCGAGTGAGTGCGCAACCAAGTGAGTGAGTGGGCGAGTCAGCGATTGCCACCAAGTTGCTGAGTGTGTCAGTGACTGAGTGACTAACTGAGTGACTAACTGAGCGACTGTGACTGAGCGACTGTGACTGAGCGACTAAGTGTGTGACTTAGTGACTGTGACTGAGTAACTAAGTGTGTGACTGTGTGACTGTGACTGTGTAACTGAAGAGTGGCTGAGTGTGTCAGTGACTGAGTGACTGAGTGACTAAGTGTGTGACTGTGTGGATAGATGAGTGAGGGAGCAAGCGAATGAGCTAGTTGGCTGCTCAGCAAATGAGCGACCATGTGAGTGGCCCGCTCACTGCGCTCAGTGATTATTGGATGTCTGCCTCTTGGCTGCTTTGTGTAGCTGGAACATACATGAGCAGTCAAACATTCTCAAAATGTGAAAAACATGCAACCTCTATGATTGTGCTGAGCTCCTTTCTTCTTCTTAATCCTTTGTTTGCTCATTCATCTCTTCCTCTTCTGTTTATTTTTTTGCAGACTCTGCTCCTTCCTTTTATTTCTTTTCTTGTCTATTTATCTCTTCCTCCTTTGTTTAGTTTTTGCAGTTCGTTCGGCGTTCTTCACTGCTTGTCTTTGTCTTCCCCTATGCCACTTACCTCAGGTGACCTTGCACAATCAAGCGCTGATGAACATAGACACAGATCCAACCGGAGGTTTTCGGAAACTCAACTTCTTGCTTCAGGTGAGCTGAGCTCAACCACTGAATGGCTGTAGAGAAAAAAAAAAAAAGCCATCACCTTTTCCTTTGTGGAACAATAAAAACAAACAATTTCCCCTAAAACTTAGAAAACTTCTAGAAAAAAAATAAAAACAAACAATTTTCCCTAAAACTTAGAAAATGTCTAGAAGCGTCTATTAGTTGTGTGACAACGTCTCGAAGTCCCCCTGATGAGGCCGCTTACTGGCAGTGGCTGAAAGTTCGAAACTAATAGGGGATCGCCAATTTACTCCGTTTTCCGGCTCTTCATGTTTTTTTCCGCGGCGAAGGTGGAGTCGACATATCAGGCATGGTTGCCTCGACAACCATGACCGAGATTCTCGGTGTTGTAACTCTTTTCTCTTGGAGATTTCTTCGAGCTGCTTCTCACATATTTGCCGTCGCCTATGGCGATTATGTGTTTGTTCTGAGGTATCGGTCATGACTTGGTCGTGTTCTCCTTCTCTACCCATGTCTGTGCGCTACACGGCAGTCCAATTAAAAATCTTATGTGTGGCCTTTCTTCTTCCCTTTGTTTGGCGCTGAGTGCGGCAATGCAATCAGGAGCATTTCGGGAACTCGACTTTTTTGCTAAAACCGCCAGTACACAACCCCAGTGATTGTTGGTAATTTACTAATTGGTTACCGATCGACATCAACCACCCGGCGGTAACAAATTCACGTTCTGGGTAAATTGACGCGACAAGGCAAAAGTTTGAGAAAAAGAAGGAATCCCCCAAGAGGGGGACAGGGGTATTGACTTAGCCAGCCAGCCGCCCTAGTCGAAGCTCGTCGTCTGTGCGTATGACGAGGTAAAAAAACGGGTGGCCGCACACAGCACTCGGCACTGACGAAAGGTTTATTACTTGCGAGATCACATAAAAAAAAACAGAAGAAGTTTTTGTAGACGATGTATGTCTCGCAGCTATGAGGAAGAAAGGTGGCAATCGTTTCATGCAGAATTGTCTCCATTCCCATATGCGTGGCCTTGCCTCTCTCCTTCCTTCCTCATCCTCATACCTTGCCTACAAACTTTTCTTCATCCAGAATTGTCTCCATCCAGGTAATTTATGACTTTGAAGAATGTGATTGCTCTACGGGGAAGATTGAAACTAGTTCCCACATCGACAACAATTCTGTCCTTCGGAACATTGCAGCCGTTAAAATTGGAACGAGAAGGGTAATTACTAATTAGGATGGCCCCTGGGGCTCGGGCAAGGATGACACACATACATTGAGCAATGGTCATCCGAGCGAGAGAGAGAGCAAGAGAGAGAGAGAGAGAGAGAGAGAGAGAGAGAGAGAGAGAGAGAGAGAGAGAGAGAGAGAGAGAGAGAGAGAGAGAGAGAG